AAGTCCAGGGTTGCAATCCTACTCATTGCCCTGCTCCCTCCTTGTAGGATCCTGAACTCCACCGTCTCATGGTCACTGCTGCCAAGGCTGCCCCCAACCTTCACATCTCCAACTAGACCTTCTTTGTTCGTTAGTACAAGGTCTAGCATTGCACCTCTCCTCGTTGGCGTCTCCACCACCTGGGTCAAGAAATTATCATCAATGCTTTGCAGGAACCTCTTTGACTGTTTGTGCCTAGCTGTGCTGTCTTCCCAACAGATGTCAGGGTGGTTGAAGTCTCCCATGAGAACCAGGGCCTGTGATCGTGAGGCTACTTCCAGCTGTCGGTAGAAGGCCTCATCGATGACTTCCTCCTGGTCAGGTGGCCTGTAGTAGACCCCCACAACAGTGTCACCCATGTTAGCCTGCCCTTTAATCCTTACCCATAGGCTCTCAACTTGTTCTTCATCCACCCCGAGGCAGAGCTCCAGACATTCTGGTTGCTCCCTCACATAAAGAGCAACTCCACCACCTCGCCTTCCTGGCCTGTCTTTCCTAAAAAGCACATAGCCATCCATGACCGCATCCCAGTCATGTGAACTATCCCACCATGTCTCTGTCACTGCAATGAGATCATGGCCCTGCGACCGCACACAGATCTCTAACTCTTCCTGCTTATTCCCCATGCTGCGTGCATTGGTATACAGGCATTTCAGAGAGCCAGTCGAGCATGCAGGCTTCCCAGAAGAGGTGCAAGAGGATCCTCCATAGCCATGTCCCATGCTGTCTCCCCTGGCTGTATGCACCCGCTGGAGGCCTCCTGACTTGAGCGGTGTTTTACTGACTCTCCTGCCACTATACCACTCCCCTTCCCCCATCTTGCCTATTTTAAAGCCCTCCTTACCAGGCTGGCCAACCTGTTGGCAAAGATGCGCGGGCCCCGCTTAGTGAGGTGGATCCCATCTCTCCCCGTCAGCTGTTGATCTTCAAAGAGGGTTCCATGGTCATAGAAACCAAAACCCTGCTGCCAACACCAGCGGCACAGCCAGCTGTTAACTTGGAAAACTCATCTACTCCTCCTCCCGTCCTTCCCCCTCACAGGCAGGATGGAGGAGAAAATGACCTGGCCTCCCAGACTTTTGACCACCATCCTCAGAGCTCTGAAATCCTGTTTGATGGTATGCAGTTTGCCCTTGGAGTCATTAGTGCCCGCATGGAAGGGCATAGTAGAGGGTAAGAGTCTGATACATGGACAAGCCTTGGCAGTCTTTCCATGACAACTCTTCTTTGAGCCCCTGGCAGACAGCAAACCTCTCTAGACAAGAGGGCAGATAGGTGCCTCTGTCCCCTGCAGCAGGGAGTCACCCACAACAATCATTCGCTTCTTCTTCTGGGTGTTCCCGCATGGCATGGGGGACAAACTCCCTCTGCCTCCAATGCCAAGTAGTAATTTATTCATCTGTTGCAATGTATTCATATGTAATGATTTATTCATATATAAGCCCCATAGGAGAATTAATGCTAAAATGAGTTTCTTGCTTAATTTTGACCAAATCCGCCAATTGTACATAAGCCTTATCTTCCTGCTAGCTTTTTTTTTTCCCCCCCCAAAAAAAAAAAATCAGAAGCAAAGCAAAGCTCAGCTCTGTCAGGGAGAAATAATAGCAAAAATAACTTTTTCTACTTACTTCTTGCGTGCAGCATGCTCAAGGCCCTAAGCCGTCTGGATATCTTGCAAGGACAAAGTTTTGCTGTTTGACACTGGAATTTTTGGGTACGAAGTTTGGACCTGGGCCTCGGTACCTAAACGGGATGCCCGCCATTTATTCCCTGGAGGTATATCAATATATGAAGTTTGCACCTCGGCCTCAGCATGAGTGGCCAAAGATGGCTTCCTCGCCAGCGTTGCCTGTGACACCTCCTTTTCTTGTATTTCAGAATGCACGGAGAGCGCAGACAGCTTTTCCTCTGCTGAGACACATTGAGGCTCCATCTGAGATGCAGAGAGAGGCAGCTCGCTCTCCGGTAATTCAGACACAGAAGACTGTTTCTGCATCTCTGTCTCAGAGGCATACAGAGGCACCTCCTCTGCTCCCGGAAAATCAAGTCTGGAGGTTTGCACTTGGGCCTCAACCTGTAATTTCCATTTCTTCCCCATGGGTATTTCAGGATGAGAAGTTTGCGTCTCAGCATCTGTTAGCACTGGAGGCACAGGCATGGTTTCTGCGGGGGCTGCTGTGTCCTGCACCTCCGGTGTTTCCGGGCAGGAGGGGCTCAAAGGAGCCTCGCTGTGTGGAGGAGAAGGAAGAATATCCTCTGCTCCTGATATCGTCAGCTTGGACGTCCGTACCTCGGCCTCTGCATATGACGGGAGATCACCTTCCTCTTCTGTGACTGTGAGCCCTGAGGTTTGCACCTGAGCCTCCGCTAGTGAGAGCATGGGAGCCATCTTCTGCAGTTCGGAAGTTTGCGCCTGGGCGTCCATGCATAGCGGTGAGGAACTGCCTGCCGCCAGAGTTTCCACGCATGCTGCTTGCACCTTGGCGTCAACAAGCAACAGGAATATAGTCTCTGCTTTCATACCAAGCGATTCAAGATCCTGGTCTTACAAGCATGTTTACAAGGGAGTTTCATCCTGCTAAAATTTGTAAGATTGTGCTTTTAAGCACACAGTTACTCCTGAGATACCTCCTCTGGCCTCATTAAAACCAAATCCTTGTTTCTCTCCCAGAGGCTTAGTGGCCTACATCTATGTAAAACCTTTGGGGCACAACATTTTGGCCTCCCCTAGCTGGTTATGTTGCAGCTCTTCAACTAGAAACAGGAAAGTGCAAACAGCCCCCAGGGGTCACTTTGAGCCCAGGGACAAAAAGAGATAAACCAAAAATACCCCAGTTCTTACTGACACTAGAGAGCAAAAGGGGTTTTTGAAGCACGCTATATGCCCCTTTACATTTTACCAGAGCCACATCTGTATTATGAAGTGGCCAAAGGTGTCATTAAGGAGTCATCTAAACAGACTACAGATGCAGCAGAAACATGACCAAATCTACATGTGCATCCACACAAATGCAACATGTCTAAGGAACAAAGCAGGGGGGTTGGAAAGCCTGGCTTTAAACCAAACCAGCAATAAACAGGCCTATAAGGAACATAGTGGAAGGAACAAAGTGCCTGGAATAAATTACATAGAAACAAGTAGTTCACGTCAAGTGGAGGAGCCATGTTCGACATGAACAGCGGGGGGAAATTCCTGCAGAAACACATCACGATACTGATGTAACTTGTACAGAGCGACCGGACACAGAGGAGCCATGTCCAGCCCAGGAGCTCCTTTCCTATGGGGCATCTTTTCCATGTGAAAGGAGACGTGGCTGAAGGTACCACCAGTTCAGGTCTCTCTGCTCATGTCTGTAATTACCTGTCTTATTTCTTCTGGCTCCTCTTTAGGCACTTCTGGCTCAGCTTTGTTTATATTGATACTGCAACATAAGAAGGGACAGAGATTCAGAGCCTGCTATGTAGCTATCAACAATGAAATAAATTCGTGTGACCAAGTAGTACAGAAAAAATGCATTACAGAACACAGAGAAGCTTTTAATATCAGAAAGAGAAGCAAAAAACATTGTAATTATTTTATTGTGACTTATAATAAAACTCCATTCCTGAATTTTTCCCAGCCACCTCTCTTACACCCGGATCAGGGCCATGAGGACTTCACCACCAAAAAGACATTCTGGAGGGGAGCGATACTGCACTTGTCTCATGGTGATGAGCATCTGCAGGTCTGACCCACATTAATGATGCTAACACTTGCTGTTAATGCTGGTTCCCGCTCTGGCTCTCCTCTGTTGATGGAGCACAAAGTCAAATACACTTTTTTTTTTTTTTTTTGCTTTTTAGATGTATTGTGTGGACTTCTGTTAATCTCACAGAGCCAAATCCAAGAACATGTTCTGGCACAACAAAGCTGTCCCAGGTGGAAAAGGTCAGCACACGCTGATTGATTTAAAAGATAACATTTATTTAGGAAACTAGTAACAGATAACATGATGTAACAGATAACGTGGTGGCACAGTTACCAGACTATTTACTACACAGAGGGTCCGGGTACAGTGGGTTGCGCGTTACAATTTAGGCTACCCACCCCATGGTGGCTCAGGCCAGAAGAATGCGTTTGTTAAAACAGATGTCTAGACCTTATCTCTTACCTAGTTGGCGTGTTTTAGGTAAGGAATCTCTCAACCTGCAGGAGTAACCTCGAGAGGCGTCCCTCCTCAAGGGGAGATGCAGCTGTGCAGCCAGCTGCCGTGCAGGAGACCTCAAAGGGCTCAACCAGGCTGCTCCTATTTATGCTTTGGGAGGATTGCTCTGTAGTCAAATCAAAGCTGAGATGTACCTTTGATTTCCATGCAGGGCTGTGCAGAGCTGGGTTGCGGTCCATATAGGGTCATGCAGAGCTGAGTTGCAGCCCACGTGACCACACCTTGTGACCAGGCAGTTACCTGTTGCCGGGCAGATGAAATATCTTGCATAATACCCCTGCTCTTGGCCAGGACGGGGCGGGGGGGGGGAGAGAGGGGGAGGGTGCAGCACACCTTTACAACAAGGCCCACTGTTAGTCATTTGGGCATTTGGGATTTGGAGCCGATGGGAATTACCATACAGCTGAGTACCTTTTGCAAACCATTCTCGTAAGGAAGGCAGACCTCCCTGTGAACTTGCTAGTCAGTTTTTTAACCTCTTGGACTATCTCATCCACATTGGAGAAAGAAGTTGCATCCTCAGGTACACTTTGTGCCTACAAGTAATGAATGTTTCCTCCAAGTTGCTGGCAAGCTATTTTTCTGGCGCAGATATCAGACAAAAGAGAGCAGAGAGAGGCAGGCAAGGCCAGCATCAGAGGAGCCAGCACCAGAAGACCATGAAACACAGCTTCCTTCCAGCTTCCCTTTCTTAAATAGTTGCAACATTAAGAAAACAGCTATTTTTAAAGAACCGGGATTTAGCAAGGCTATTCCCCCCACATGACTGTGTTTATACACCGTGTCATTGTCTGGCGCCATTTATCTACATTTTTTTGGCTGCACTACTTTGGAAACTCCCTGATACGGGCCAAGGGGACCAAGCAAACCTCTGTGGCTGGACAGACCTCTCCTTCAGATGCTGGGGCAGGAGAGGGCTTCCCTTGAAGGGAAACTAAGCATACCTTACGGATGACTCAGTCGCGGGGAGACTGGCACAGCAAAGGCCAAGTTTCCAGGTCCCTGGGAGCAGAACAGCACAAGAGTAACCGATAAATCCTCCTTTTGCCCTCAGCTTTATTCCCCGCTTGGGGAACGGCTGGCCCCCCAGCCCTCCCTGGGGCACCCAGGAGGCATTCACCCCATCCCTCGGACCGCGGTTCCCCTCAGAGAAACTAGTGCATGGGGAAGGGTCTCTCTTCCCTGCCAGCGCATCCTGGCCCCCTCACCTCCCCTCTCCCCCATGGCCCCGGCAGCTGGGGGAGGTGCGTGGCCATAACCGTGCTGTGTGTACTCCCCCCTCAACCCTAAAGTGTGACCTCAGCGGGTCCTTTTCTGATGCCGGCTGATGCGGCACTGAGGTAAGAGGTGACAGTGGGGGAAGGGGGGGGAGGCTTTCGGTGGGCCCCTGGCCCCACGTAAGTCCAAGCATGTGGGCCGATGTGAGAGAGAGTTTGCAGAGATGCGCGTACTGGGCAGGAAACCACCTTTATTTGTCGCATGCTGGAAACGTCACCGCGCCAGTGCGTATTTGGGGGCTCACAGACCAAGGGGACCCCAAATGCTCACCGCAGGTGGGACTTGGGGCTCTTGGCTTAGTTAGAAATGCACTCCCAATAGCTGAAAAGCTGGCATTATTTCTTCAAAATAGCTGTCGCATAGGACATATCTTAGACACAGCCAAGGAGGTTTATGTGCGATGAGTGCAATATTAACTCTAGGGAGACTCCGCCGTGCTTCCTAGTGTTGGAATAACCTTTACACGGGCCGGAGGTGTCCTTGGACTATCAGTGACCATGCAGGCATCAAGCTCCCACTTTGTAAAACAACCTTTTGCGTAAGAAAATTAGTGAGATGCAACCAGGTGCTGGGGCAGTACTAATGCCAATGCCGAGAGGAAATATTGGGTGGGGGGCAGAAAAAGGGGCCAGTGGGCTCCGGTGGGGCCGTGGGGTGCGCGGTGGGCGCCGTCCTCAGAGCTCGGTGCGAAAGTGCAGGTCGGTCCCTGCCATCTTCTGCGCGTAATCCTCGTCGAAGCGCTCGCTCTGGGCCACGGTGAAGTGGTTCTTCCAGTCGCCGGCGATGCCTGGGGCCGGGCGAGACGGGTGAGCGGGGCCGCAGCAGCAGGGGGAACCGCGTGGGGGCCGAGAGCCGCTCACCTTTGCGCATGAAGGGGCTGATGTCATGGTCCATGAGATCGGCGGGCACCGAGGTGTAGTTGGTGGTGGGGTTGTCCCGCATGGCCTCGAAGGAGGTGTGGCGGGTGATGGCATCCAGCACTGCCGCTGGCAGGTCCTGCTGCAGGAACTGCGCTACCTTCCCGATCTCCCGCCGGGGGTCCCGCCAGGAACGATGCAGACA